TCAGTAAAATGTTTTTTAAAAAGAACATTTTGGAATGAAACCTAAAAATCCATTCATTCTCGTCGTATATATCTGGGTTGCATTTCAAAAAGTCCCTTTTGAAAACATCAACAGCCTGATTGGTTACTGTAACTTCGGTCTTTTAGGACAATAAATCAGGTTTAGTAGAAAGAAACGGAATGTTATCTCTATTGTGTACCTCTCACTCTACGCGTGTTTCTACTCCCATCACGGTCATTAGCAGTTCATTCTATATGTCGAAGCATGGGCTGCTTTTACCTGAGCTCTATACAATGCACATAACACCACGTAATCAATATTCATGATTTTCTGGTTCTGTTATGTGCTAAGTATACAAATGACATAAGTTAGAAAGAGGCAGATAATCTGTTATCTATCTTTGTCTAACTCAGTTATTTGTATAATTAACGCAGAACAGAAATCATGGACATTGACTATATAGTTTATATGCCAGAATTGTATGTACAGAAAATATGTACAAGTTGTACAAAGAGTACTTCGCATATAACTCAGCTAAAAGCAGCCCATGATCCTTTTCTTTCTGATAATACATTAGATCGTGAGATCGTAAGATTTTCGTTATATATTCCCCAAATTCATTACGCTCTCGTTTATTGATTGAATCTTTTTTGAATGTAGGCTAATCTAGACGAATGCACAATTTCCAGACTTCAATACGTATTTTTTCGGAGACCTGAAACTGAGCATGCTTTAATTATCGTAATCACTACTGTCCGTAACATGACATGCAGTTATATCTATAATTTCAGTTGAACCTAGACTCTTACTTGAGCGACCATACACTTTTATACGCTATTTTATGCTCAAAAAAGACTCAAATGAATTGTGCCAGACTTCTAGGCTAAATTTGTCATGTACGCTTTTATTTTAAAAACATTATCACTTGTTATCTTTATCACTTATTATATGCTAAAAAAAGATAAAATGATACTTTCAGTTTCTATATTTCCGGATCTGATGAAATACACGTTGTCCGTAAAGAAGTTGACTGCGCTGTTCTGTTTAAACTGGCATCGGATCCACACACACATTTCATTGCACTCAACTGTACGAATAATAACTTATAATAAGTATTTACTATAATAACTTCTCGAGTTCAGCTAGAAACATTGCGCTGGTACTGCCTTTGCAAATAGCACCACACTTTACTCGTGCCATATACACGCTACTTGAACAAATAATCTAAGTAAAAACTATGAGTAATTTATTTTAATCAACATTTAAAATTTTTTAATTAACAATAATATGTAAATAAGGAATTACTGTATGTTTATCTGCTAAAATTTGCGTTCCATAAATATACATTTTTAATATCGTCTTAGTAGGTCGACTATTGCAAATCATTTTAGCAAACTTGTAAGTGCTATTCGTAACCTGAGGACAATAGGAAATATCCAGTAATCGTAATCTAGGTGAGGATACAAGAACTTTATATATCCCACTATCAGTTATGGCTGGACATCCACGACATACTAATCCTTTTAAGTTCTTTATGTTTTCCAAGCCATAACTAGTTATGTTAGGCAAATAACTAATGTATAAATATTCCAGTTTTGGTAATGCTGTAGCAGCTATTAATGCAGCATTATTCACATAGAAGCTACCTATTGTGTGAGAAATCATATATTTGAAATATTTAGAATATATCTAGAATGCGAAAAACGTGAAAGGTATATATTATTGTAATTTACCAGAAATGTCTAAATAAGTAATTTGCAAACAATTTGTTGCTATATCAATTAAATGTTTCTCTGACAATGGGAAGTGTGTAATTTTTAACACTTGCAGATTAACAAGGTTAATAAATTCTAACTTATCCGCATATTGTTCAAATCCATAGCAATTTGTAATAAGTTCGTGAATTTGTAACTCTTTCAGGTTTGTACAGCAATTACTGATAACTTCCATTACTTTTTTATCAATTCGGGAAATCCATATTTCAAGATGTTCCAAATTTTTTAACTTTGCCAATCCCTGTATTAAAACATAATTAACATTACGTGCATCTATCAACTGGTTGATATAAAAAGAAAAATTAGAAAGTAGGACTTTAACTTACCATAGAAAATTCAGTATCGTCAATTCTAGAGCAACGCTTTATTATAAGTGTGCGTATTGTCTGGGCCGGCAAACACGATAAATATGCGCCCGAGAAGCAAATATCTGAACATACCTCGAAATAATTTAGCTCTAAACATTCTTGGAAAAAATTCAGTCCATAATCTAAATTTTTTAACATTCCTACAGTAAGTTTAGTTATGTTTTTATGTATTTTCAGTAATAATTCTAGATCCTTTACACTAATTATTATTTCAGAAACATCAATACTCGTAAGATTAGGACAATGTTGCGAGATTATAAATAATACTGTTGTATTAAAATTAGTAGTATTAGTTTCACGTATATTGGGCACATGTAATTCTTTTAAGAATCTGCCACATTTTAATAACACTTTCCGCAGCATAACTGTATTGATCATATACGTTGAGCAACCCCATGTTAAGTGCGACATGTCTAATCTTGTCATTTTACACCATGAGTCTTGACTTAATCTTCTCCAACGTTTACATACTACAAGTAATAATAAAATAATGTATATATGTTTCTTAGACAAAGGAACTGCTATACAAATAATTATAACTTATACTTGTTGAATATCTTCCTTCGTAAGATACGTGGGTGAAAAAAGGGATCATGGGAAACATATTTTGAAAAGATGTGTAGACTGGAAAAATTATGATAGGAGGGAAAATGCAAAGTAGATTTCGTATGATGGTAAAGACGGGAAAGAATGGTTAGAGAGAGTTATAGAGGATGAAAAAAGAAAGGAAAGAGAAAAAGAGACGAAGAGGAAAGAGAGCGAGGGAGAGAAAAAGAGAGAGAAATGTAAAACAATCGAACTTTATATCTCGGGTTGCTTTATATCTCGGAAAAAGTAAAAATATAGATTATTACTACTATGGTTGTTAAATTTCTTACCTACTTCTGTACGGACTCTGTCAAAAATTGATAAAAATTGAAAAATATGTATCAAACAATAATCGTTCAGCACTTCTAAAATCATATTTTTCAGTTTTTCTTAACGCTTTTTCTTAAGAAATTTTTGTTTTATATAATAAGATCTATACTTATTTGTAGTTGTTTTTTTACTCTCAAAGTTTTATTATACAATTTGTTTATCAAGCTTATCATTCAAATCTCTAAAAGATCAGATGTTACAGATAGTAAGCAATGTTAATGTTTTACTTTTAGAAGTTTATTTAATGAAATATATACTAACTAGACAGTGCATCGCAAATATCCACGGTAAGTAAATTGGATGAAAGAAAAATCCTTGATTCCTTTCTCATTCTTGTCTAGGTCGCAGTATGATCAAAAGTGGAAAGGATGAGGTAAGTAGGATGAACAAAGGATAAACAAAAACAAAGTGCTATTCAAGACATCCAGATATGCTCTCTCTCATATCGCATAGACTTAGCGTTCGTTCTAATTTATATTTGAGTTTATCTTATTGCATTCTCTTAGGCTCAGTTCCACAACCTCTAGTTAACTTCACTGACCGGTTATTCTATTGGACTTGACCAATCGCATTTAGCGTTAAGAAGAGTTAATCAGAATTAACCAATCATTGTTGAGACTTAACCGGTAGTTAAAGTTAAACGGAGGTTGTGAAACTGGACCTTACAGCATCATTAAGGCTGCATTCCGATATTCACTGATAATACTCAAAGATATTTATATTATATACCAGATTGTTAACATGGATGAAATACATGGCTTCGAAGCTGCATTTTGTTTCATACACATTTATCTATAGTTCATGTCACGTATACTATAGAAAATGCGCGCATATGCGTGAAACGGAACGCAGCCCGAAAAATATTTACTGAACATATGTATATGCGTTATGTAAGTAATATGTTGGTGTCATGATTGGTGATGTATAAGATGTGAATCATGTCTTGTTGAATGTAATAACCTTCTAACTTTTACGGAAAAACAACATATTGATTGACTGTCGCGCGGACTTCCGCCGCGCGGCAAGCATTACCGCGTCCTGTGTGCAAGAGCCATAAGAGTATGAACGGTCAGTGGCCAGACTTTGTATATAGGGACTCTAAGCAATCAGCGATTATTGGTTCTTACTGTATACGCAAAAATTTAGAGAATAGAGCCCCAGAGCCAGAGCAGCTTAAAGTCCATCTCACACAAAATGCATAACTGCATATGCACATATAGAAAATACGGTAAGAGCATTATATGGTAATACTAAAGGAGACTCCTTCTCCTCATCGATTTAGCTGAAACTTAATAATATTATGTAATTAGATGCGTAGAAAAGGAATATGAAAGTAAAAAATCGTTAATCATAATAAAGTTATGATGCAGCAAAAGATGACAGGTTAGATTTCATTTCGGACCGCTTGTAATTATTATAGGTGTAATTTTTAACCTCAAAAAATAGATTAAAAACACGACAAACCCACCTGTGCAAAGTAACAAAAAGTGTGAACATTTAACATTTTTAATAATAGATATTCAGTCTAAAGCTACATTATTACAATGCATGGAAACTCTATTCGAGGATTCGGAAGATGATTTCAATTTTGTAATTTATTTATTTTCAAGGGACGAAGAAGAAGATACTTATTTGTGTGTCGCTTTAATTATGATTACAAAGAGGAGAAAATTGGCCTTAAAGGCCAAATCACACTAGCGATTGGCGATTGACAATTAATAATTAAAGATTAGATTTTAACGAATCAACAAGCTTCAGCCTTGGTTTGCTTTGTTCCAATTGGTCAAGTTTTAATCTTCAATCGTCAATCATCTATCGCCAATCGCTAGTGTGATTTGGCCTTTACGATTACTGAAAGTGTGTATGGCCAGCTTTGGCTGCGTTTAGATTCCTTATCCGGGTGCACTCTAATACAAGAAGTGCTATAGTATATGTGACATATACTATAGTGTTTCTAGTAACAGAGTGCACCTAGGTAGGGAATCTGAACGCACCCTTTAAGGTCTTCACACACAAATTGACATAACAGGGCTGCGTTCAGATTCCCACCAGGGTGTATTCTATTACTAGAAATGCTATAGTATATGTAACATATACTATAGTGTTTCTAGTAACAGAGTGCACCTAGGTAGGGAATCTGAACGCACCCTTTAAGGTCTTCACACACAAATTGACATAACAGGGCTGCGTTCAGATTCCCACCAGGGTGTATTCTATTACTAGAAATGCTATAGTATATGTAACATATACTATAGTGTTTCTAGTAACAGAGTGCACCTAGGTAGGGAATCTGAACGCACCCTTTAAGGTCTTCACACACAAATTGACATAACAGGGCTGCGTTCAGATTCCCACCAGGGTGTATTCTATTACTAGAAATGCTATAGTATATGTAACATATACTATAGTGTTTCTAGTAATAAAGTGCACCCAGATGAGGAATCTGAACGCACCCCAGTAACGTAAGACGTACCGTAAAGGTGCCAATTCATGGAAGCGTTCCAGCGTCGAGCGTTATAGCGTTAGCCAATCAACATATCAGGTTCCAGAAGTATACTTGTAGTTCTTGCGGAAAGTGGTACGTTGATTGGTTACCGCTTTAACGCTTGACGCTCGATGCTCCCATGAAAAGGTGCCTAAGAATTGACCAATCATGTTGAGAATCGTTGAACCGTAAGGTCGCCATTTTGATGAATACTCGATCGTAATTGGTCAATTCTTATGGTGTCTTACATTACTGTTATATCAATTTGTGTGTGAAGGCCTTTACTACTTAAGTTTTTCTATGTGCCACCAGCTTAAGTATATAAGGAAGTTAGCAATCTAGAATATATGTGTCTATGAGGCATCATGTCTTTACCATCGAGAAATGCATGTAACGGATACAGCGTATTTTCTTAGAAAATATCTCAGGCAAAGATCTTTAAATAGCCGTTCTCAGGATTCTACTTGATTTTGTGTGCCTTGAGTCAACGTACCTTAATAACAGAGAAAGTCATTTATATAATAAAAAGTTTTTTTTATCAGGGTGATTGCCTACAATGAATATCGTCTGTACAATTTGTAGAGACGTACTGATACCATCCAGTGATGTTTACAACACACCATGTGGACACATTTTTCACTTTCAATGTTTAACAAGATGGCTTCAAAGGTAATCCATTGGCTTTACAAAAACTTTTGTATTCATTTGCATATTTTAATTTTATTTTTCTTGGTAATCCAGTTTAACGACTTCACCTCCGATTTCGATGAAAGTAGGCTCAATCGACGCTCAATCGTCGCTCTCTACTGCGAAGCGAGAAATTGTTAAAGATGCTAGGTATGATAGGTTAAGAAACCCGTCATTGCAACGTAAAGTCTGTTAGTTAGAGTTGCACTTACTGTAACGCAATATGCAACAACTTCATGAAAATACTTAAATTAAGAATATTTTTAATATATTAGACATTTGTAACACGGGAAAAATTTCGAACGACAAGCGGGGGCTGTACCTTCCAAAAACTAACCTAACCCAACCTATCGTCGTTCGAAATTTTTCCCGTGTTACAAATGTCTAATATATTAAAAATATTCTTAATTTAAGTATTTTCTCATGAAGTTGCTGCATACTGCGTTACACTAATACAATAGGTGCAACTTTAACTAACAGACTTTACGTTACAATGACGGGTTTCTTAACCTATCATACCTAGCATCTTTAACAATTAATTTCTCGCTTCACAATAAAGAGCGACGATTTTGTCAGAAGAAAAAGTTATTTCTTTAACAAAAACGCGTCGATTGAGCCTACTTTCATCGAAATTGGAGGTGAAGTCGCTAAACTGGATAAGTACCTTCTTCTTTTCCTATATATTTGTCATTTGCTAAATTGTTATAAATTGTTATTTTACTTTTAATTATCTCCTGTTATAAATATGGTATATTTTATTAACAATTATTTTTACAGATCAAAGACTTGCCCACAATGTCGGGAAAAAGCAACTGAAACATCTATACACAGAATATATTTTAATTTTCTAAACGATGACTCTATTCATCAGTCCGATAGTGCCAAATTACAAAGTGAAAACAATTCTTTAAGTTTCAAACTGAGTATGATAAAAAAGAAACTCATAGAGCTTGAATTAAAGAATAATACATTAGAAAGTCAAGTAGATATTCTTCAACAAACACTTAAGCAGTTGGAAGAAGCTGTAAAAAAAAAAGAAAGTGCAATTGCTGCACTTAAAACCCAAATTCAATATTTTAAAGTCACATGTAAAGGTATAGCAGAAAAAGATAAAGAAATCAAAGCATTAAACATGAAACTAGAAAAGTTGCAGAGGTAAGTTTCTAAAATACTTCTCTAAAATATACTCTCATAAATTTAATATTTTTATCCAATAATAACCTAAATATATCACTGTTTAAAATATTGTAAAAATATATTTATAGTTATAGACAAAGATAGATATTTATATAGAAAGATAGTTATAGATAAAGGTTTCAGTGGCTGAACAAATAAAAACGCATGATTAGTTATGTATTTTTATTAATGATTATTAATAATTAATAATTATTAGAATTATTAAGAAAATTAACATTCATATAAAACCTCAATTTGTCAACGATTAAGAAATAATAGGAAGTATAAGAATAAATATCAATTATATAATTTTATTGAGATATTAGATAATATTAGTAATTTTACTGATAGTAATTACAAATAAATTATGTCCTAATTACCAAATAACACCGAGTCAGTGACTAAATGGTTATATGTAATATATATATATATATATATATATATATATATATATATATATATATATATATATATAT